CAAATTATAATGACATAAATAGAGTAGGCAGTTAAAACACAAAATCTCTGCTATGCCCTTCTACCCAAATGATGCCAAGCTCAGATATTACAAGTTTTAGTGTATTGCTGATCTCTATTTTTTTGTAAAGAGACAGGGTCTTGCTATGTTGCCCAGGCTGGAGTACAGTGACTATCCACAGAAACAATAGCAATGCCCTACAGTCTCAAACTCCTGTGCTCAAGGGATTCTCCTGCCATAGCCTCCTGAATAGCTGGGACTAAAGGGATATACCACCGCATCTGGTATGATTCATATTTTATATAATCTGTTTCAATAGACAAATAACTCTCTTACTTATTTTTTTCTTTTAAAATTGTATACCCTTATTATTCAAACCAGAGAATAACAATACAAATAAAAAAAGAAAGGAACAGAGAAAAAAGAAGAAAATAATTTATAGCTCTGTCTCAGTTACGAACATTCATTTATTTTAAAAAGAGCCCTGTTTAAAACAAGATAAAATGGAAAACATGAGGCCATATTATTTTTTTTAAGAAAATAAAGGATGTCATGTAGGGTTTATTCCAAGAATAGAAGAAATATTTAGCATTATAAATCTGTCAGTGTAAGAGATTGATAAAGAACTATGAAGTCAGGAGTGGGATTTTAGGAAAAAAAAGAACTATGAGGTCATCTCTATCAATGCTGACAAAGCATTTGATAGAATATCTTTCATTGTAAACATTTTTAACAGACTAGAATGAGAAGAGCTCTTCATAAGGAGTAGCTACCGTGAGCATAACAATTAATTGTGCAATTTTGGAAGGACTTCCATAGAGTCAGAAACAAGACAAGAGTGCTGAGGCACTACTCTATTCAAGATGGTATCACAGGGCCTGGCCAATACCATGAGACAAGGACAGGAAATAAGAAGGGCAAGGATGCAATAACAAAAGATGATTATCTTTGTTGTTTGAAAATAATATAATTGCCAATGTTAAATTCCACAGTAATCTATGAATAAATAATTAAATCTAATAACTCAAAAGGGTTGGTGGGCATAAAAATATAAAATGCATATAAAAATGCATTGTTTTTCTATACACTAGTAATTCCAATCTGAAACTGAGATAGAAAAGCCAGACATCATTCACAACAGTATAACAGACTCTATATCCAAGAATAAATATTTTAGATCTACATGAAGAAAACTATGACGTGTCATTAAAGGACACAAAACAAGATCCATTTAAATGAAGAGACAGGTATATGCTGTACTGTATATGTTTTGTGATGACTCGATATGCTATTAATAAAACGTTCATACATTCCAAAATAACCTAAACGTTTAATGCCAAAAAATTTCTGCTGGATATTTTGTAGAGCATTGTAAAATTCATGTTGATGAAAAAGCTAGTCAAGATGATTCTCAAAAAGACAGAAGAAAGAGAGAATAGTGGGCCTTCACTTAGTACTACATATGAAGACATATAAACCTGCAATTAAAACAGTGTGACATTAGTCCTGATAAAATGAGCAGGTTAGTAGAACAGAGTTAGACATTTTTGCTGTTTTCTGGGAGTCTCTTTTTTTTTTTTTTTTTGAGACAGACTCTCACTGTGTTGCCTGGGCTAGAGTGCTGTGGCATCATCCTAGCTCACAGCAACCTCAAACTCCTGGACTCAAGCGATCCTACTGCCTCAGCCTCCCAAGTAGCCGGGACTACAGGCATGTGCCTCCATGCCCAGCTACTTTTTTCTATATATTTTTAGTTGTCCGATTAATTCCTTTCTATTTTTAGTAGAGACGGGGTCTCGCTCTTGCTCAGGCTGTTCTCAGACTCCTGAGCTCAAACAATCCGCCCACCTCAGCCTCCCAAAGTGCTAGGATTACAGGCGTGAGCCACCGCGCCCGGCCCTGGAAGTCTGTTTACTGACATTTTCTAATTGCCAGTCGATAGTTCTTCAATGGATGCTTTCAGTCTTTGAGTCTCAACTTCTGTATCTTTGAGAATGGGAAGGAGGGATGAATATGTTAAAATATTTCCCTGATCCTAAGCTCGACGCACACTGTTGGCTAAAGGAACCTAGTTGATTCATCAAGTTGGTGAGTGCTTTCAATGCAGAGAATGGGGCCTTTGTCTGCATAGATGATGCTGGGGTGTCATGCAATATAAGAAGGGTCCCTTAGGATGGAGGAGGTGGTAGTTGAGTGGATGTGTATGTGTGATATTAGGAGAAAAGTACTGCGCAGTACTGTTACGGGCAGACTGAAAAGTAGAAATCTCATTGGTCCTGTGAAATGCAAGGTTTTGTTTTTGTTTTTACCTGTTAGTTAAATTAATTCCTTAGAATTATCAAGAAATAATGTCTTTAGTGTAATAGTTAAGAGAAGGGACCCTGGAGCTAAACTACCTATGTCAGAAAGCCTCTGCCATTTATTAAGTATATGACATTGGGCAAGTTATTTTAAGATTCACTTGGTATATTCATGGGTAAAATTTGGATAACAACAGTGCACAGGTGCGTTATGAGACTAAACGAGTTAACATCTGAAAAGCACTTAGAAATGTGTCTAAGTGCTTACAAAAAAAAGTAAATAAATAAAAATAACTCTGAAGGGTTGTCTGCTACGTGGGACAACAACTGCATTGTCTTTCTTTGGCCCTAGGTGCTTTTGCCCTCGCGTACCCTTTCCTCTATTAAAATAACATTATTTTCTTCAACCTAAAAGTTCACTTTTTCTTCTGATTTTAGAAGAAATTAAAATATTTTCGTGAGCCTCTAAAAGTACTGTGGGCCCTAGGCACTGTGCCTACTGTGCCCTAATGAATTTCAGTCTTGGGTGCATCTGAAGATGACATTTTAAAATATATATAGTTATTCAATTAGGAAATTATACACACATATACATATACACACATACACTAAATCTTCAAACCAAGTGCCCTACAAACGTGAGGCCAATAAATAAGGATGGTTCAAGCAATGTCTCCTTGGAGTTGTGAGGGGTGTCTTCAACCACTGGAAAAGCGGGGAAGTGCTAGCTCCCCAAGAAGAAAGCAGGGAGACGCTGGAATATTGAAGCTGAAATTTGCATTCTGCTTCTTCAATCCTCTCCTCGATTTGAGCCCTCAGAAAAAACAGTAGGAAGAGAAGCAAAAAGACCAAGCCCCCTGCTTCCCGGTCTTCAAAATTCTCGACCCTCAAGGGCCGGGTGGCTCACGCCTGTAATCCTAGCACTCTGGGAGGCTGAGGCGGGCGGATTGTTTGAGCTCAGGAGTTCGAAACCAGCCTGAGCAAGAGCGAGACCCCGTCTCTACTAAAAAAAAAATAGAAAGAAATTATTAGCTGGGCATGGTGGCGCGTGCCTGTAGTCCCAGCTACTCGGGAGGCTGAGGCAGTTGGATCGCTTGAGCCCAGGAATGTGAGGTTGCTGTGAGCTAGGCTAACACCACGGCACTCACTCTAGCCAAAGCAACAGAGTGAGACTGTCTCAAAAAAAAAAAAAAAATTCTTGACCTTGTGTTTTCATCGGTAACTGGCCAGAGCAGATTTTTCAGACTCTCCAAGTCTGGTGGTCTGGTGGTCGCCAAAAGAGAGGGTGCGGGTCGGCGAGGTCTGGGCACCACCAGAGGGCGACCAACCGGCAACCTTCCAGACGCGGGCGACGGGCGGACTTAAATGTATGGGCTTCTCCACGTGGGGGTCGGAGAGACGTAACGTGGCGCCGGCGTAACGTGCAGCTCAGTGGTCAGGTCGAGCTGGGGAGCTGCAAAACAGCCTTCTGAACGAGCCAGCGTGGAGGGCGCTGGGCAGACGGCCCTATGAAGGAGCCGGCGTGTAGGGCCCGGAGATTCATTTCCACCCTTTTCATAGCTGCTCTGAGAATGGGATGGCGGCTGCCATTTTTCAGGACCTCTCACATCCAGTTTGAAATTCTATGCGATTTTTCGGCTTTGTGTGGCTATATGGTAGTTGCATTTTAGAGCAATTCCATGTCCTTTAAAACAAAGTTCACCAAATATGGTCTCTGGACCAGCAGCATCAGCATCATCTGGATTTAGAAGTACAAATTCTGAGGTCCTACTTCAGAGCTAATGAATCAGAAACTATAGGGATGGGGTCTGGTAATCTATGTTTTCAAAAATCCTTTAGGTGATTTTAGTGCACACTCAAGATTGAGACTGCTTTAAAGTATTTTGTTTCTCTTAATCCACCTGTTGGAGTTAACTTCTTAAATGGCAACTTAGCCTAAACTAAGCTGTTTTAACTTCAGGATCATTACCAAAGCCAAACCAGTGCTTAGGCCTTACCCACTCAGCCTTGCTGTAAAGTGAAGATAGATAGTAAATAAGTAGCTAGATAGATGTTAGAAAGGGAAGACCTTACAAAGATTTGAATCAACAATGAATGCAGAATTTCAATTCTCTGCAGATTTTATTAATTATAACGTTTCATTTACAGATTTTCTGCCATCCTCTCATTCAGACTTTTCCTTGCAAAGGTAGTCCCTGGTAAATAATGAATTCCCAGTAACTAGTTCTGTACAGTAGTAAATTCTATTTTTATAACTCAAAAAATAAAACGAAAAAGCTAAAAACCTTGTTTACTTTCTTCCACTCAGATAATCATCTCCTTTTGTTGAATCAGTGTGCAGCAAACCAGGATGGGTTGGATTTGGATGGGATACTGTATTGTTACGGCAGGGTTGACCGGGAATAGACCAAGAGACACACACAGAGATTTGGCAAAAACAGGTTTTATGTGCCGGCTGGCGATTGGCCCAGAGGGGAATTTGCTCTCCCCAAATTCTGAGCACCAGACTAAGAGCATTGCAGTCTTTTATACACTCTGCTTAAGGAGGAGGGTCATGGCTACAACGGGGTTAACTTTAGTGAGGCAGGGTCCTGAGCCACTTTACAACCTAGTACACTAATTGCTACAGGTGATTTATGAGGGCAAGGTCGCAGGGGAGGAGGAGGGACAGGTAAGGATCGCCGGGGAGAAAGCCCGGTAGTGGAATTTCTAAAAATTCTGCTTTAGTGGAATTTTCCAATCTTCCACTTCAGTATGACACTATAGTCAGTCATTCTCAGGCAGATCAGACTTTTCATACTTCATAAATTCTATGCGTAGATTCATATTTTCAGTTATTTTATGCATTTATTTCTTCTCTGCATTCATCTCTCTCCCCTGATTGAAGAAATAAAAAGGGTTTATTTGTTAGGTGTCATTTTGCCATCAGCACTAACATTTGCAATACAAAGAAGAGGGTCCTTTTTGCATGTGCTTGTATAATGTACTATCTGGAATCTCTCCTTCAGTGTTACTTACACTTTAGTAATTATTAGCATTAACAGATAATGACTCAAATCATGCTTAAGAGATATCACTGAATAATATGATCTTTGTTTTAAATCCTCCAACTACCCTTCTGGGGTGAGATTCAAATAGTTCAAAAGCTCATATTTTCTCCCTTTAGTTTTTGACCTGAAAATATTTGGACACTCTGATTTTAATTTTTTTTCTTTCTTTTTTTTCTTTTCAGGCAGGGTCTCGCTCTGTCACTCAGGCTGGAGTGCAGTGGCATAATTGTAGATCACTGCAACATACAAATCCCAAGTTCAGGTGATCCTTCTGCCTCAGCCTCTTGAGGAGCTAGGACTACAGGCCCATACCACCACGCCTGGCTAAATTATTTTTTGTTTTTGTTTTGTTTGTTTGTTTGTTTGTTTTTTGTAGAGACAATAGTCTATCTTGCCCACGCTGGTCTTGAACTCCTAACCTCAAGCAATCTACCAGCCTCAACCTTCCAAAGTGCTGGCATTACAGTTCTGAGCCACCAGGTGGGGCCTGGTTTTCATTTGAACACTAAAAAGAAAAAATATAATAATTGCTCACAATTGCTAAGTGCTTACTAAATGTCCATCACTCTTTTAAGAGCTTTTACATGAACTATCTCAATTAATCCTTGAAACAACTTTAAGAAGGGGTCTACTGTTATCATCTTCTTTGTATAGATGAGGAAAATGAGTCCCAGAAAGTCTGAGTTACTCATTCAATCTCGTTCAATTGAACCACTGTGACAACTCAGCCCTGGGCTCTATTCCTGCTGTTACAGACATATGTGCACTTTAATTACTTAAGTAATTATATCATGTTGCAAATACTTTTTGAGTCTACTGTGTGCCCAGAGCAGCCTTGAGCATTAGGGAGTCAGCAGCAAAAAAAGAGAATCTCCCTGCCCTTACGGACCTTACAGTCTTGAGAATCAGATAGGCAGGCAAACGGTAAATAAAATTTATGTTAGTTAGTGCTAAGCATAATGAAGAAGAATGAAGAAAGAAAGTTAAGATTGGAGACAGAAGGGTGTCATTTTACATTTGCTGGTCAGAGAAAACCTCCCATATGTGGTCATATTTTAATTAATCCACTTAATCCAACATACAAGAAATGTGGGAAGTATTTTAGTTACTATGTGACAAATATGACACCCAGCTGAGACATCAAATATATAAAAGGGTCTATTTACCTTTCTGATTCTTTTTTCCTCTCTCTCTGTCTTTTCCCCCCTACATTCTGCTATAGGCTTGTACTTGGTCTCTAAACCCTTTCCCTCCCTGTTATAGTAGCAGTTTGCTTCTTCCATTCCTTTTCTGAGTCCTTCTCAATTTCTCTCACCTTTTTTCTCCCCATGCGCCTCTCTCTTCCTAAAAAGTAGCATGATTTGGATGTAATATTTATAAAATATTGTATTGTATTTATGAAGTACAGCTTAACATTGCCAAAATTTTAAACAAAATAATATTAATATTACTATATTTTGTTTATTACTCAAAAATTGGGATAAATATGTTTGCTTTAATGCAATTGTTGGGTCGTGGTTGTCTGTTCTTGGTTCTTGGTGTGCTCCTGGCTGAAGAACGACCAGACACACCAAAGTAAGGCAAGTATGAGGTGAAGTTTATTGGGTAAAATAAGATATGTTCGCCAGACAATGAAGTGAAAGGACCCCCTGTAATAACAGGAGGGCCCCGATTATGGTCTGGGGTCCTGTTTTATATTGCCTAGGCTGGGTCCTCCTCATGGTTCAAACGTCATCATTAAACTACTTTGATGGACAGTTGGGAGTTATATAACCTGAGTCTTAACTGCTCTTGCAGATATCCCATGAGCCTCTCTGAAAGCCCATTTGGGGAAGTGAACCACAATGTAGATTTAAACTAATGACAAGACAATTAGCCTTAGGTTGTTCTAGGTCACCTTCCACACCCTATTGTGACTGAGCTGCTTGGCCTGTGGGCTAGGGAATCCTCTGCATTCTTCTGCCTTTGGCCCACTAACTTCTCAATGGCAGATTGGTAAGGCATTCCCTCCTCCCCCAGATGTGGCAATTGCTTCTGGTGCCTGCCTCCTCCCCAGGAGGGCCTGAGGCTCACACAGTCTACCTAACAAAATGAGTCTGGTAGTCCCCTTGTGGATCCAAGTCTATTCAGTTGCCTGAAGAGTTCCAAAGTATGAGAAACATTTTTTTTAGGCCTTAGTAAAAGAGAAAGGAAAATGAAAGCAATTAGCTGGAAGTCTTGACTGAGGGCTCCAGGGGGTCCAGGACCACCTTAGCTCTCTGTATCTCCAGTGCCCAAGCCAGTGCCTAGCCCAAAGACATTTAGTGATTATCTCTTGAATAAGCTGATTTATAAATAAACACTGAGCAGTAGTCATGCTACATTTTACTAGGGAATTTCGACACATTTCAAGAATCTCCCTATAATCCTTTATGACTAAATTCTTCTATTCAGTTTCTTCTCTTTTTACTGCCCTCTGCTAACTCTTAATGTGTTATCTTAACTTTAAGCACTGTAATTTTTACTATTACTCAATTATTAATCTTAAATTTTATATATTAAGTAAATTATTAATATAGCTTTTAACTTTTTGTTTGATTTTAAATTTCATTAATTTGTTTCTTCCATATTATTTTTTTCATATTTTCATAATCCACAGTATGTTCTGAGATTATAATTTTTATTATAAGTATTTTTCTACTTAAAATTTTTTTTTATTTCAAAAGGCCAAACATATTTGTTGGACATTGTAACAACAATCATGCATCAGAGAATTGCTTTACAAATTGCTAAATTAGCTTAGGATTTCCCAGATGAATTAATTCAATACTTTCTTTTTTTAAGTACCTGCTATGTGCTGGGCTAATGTTTTATATAAATTGTAGAGACACTATTTTGTCCTTTACAATCTCGGAGAAAAATCCATCACGGGACCCCTTGAGGATTTTCTTGGCATTTGTCTCTGGAAATAGTGATCAATTGTAGTCTAAATTGTCGGAATTCAGACTGGGCGTGGTGGCTCAGGCCTGTAATCCTAGCACTCTGGGAGGCCGAGGCGAGAGGATTGCTCGAGGTCAGGAATTTGAGACCAGCCTGAGCAAGAGCGAGACCCCCCCGTCTCTACTAAAAATAGAAAGAAATTATCTGGACAACTAAAAATATATAGAAAAAATTAGCCGGGCACAGTGGCACATGCCTGTAGTCCCAGCTACTCGGGAGGCTGAGGCAGAAGGATTGCTTCAGCCCAGGAGTTTGAGGTTGCTATGAGCTAGGCTGATGCCATGGCACTCTTACCAGGGCAACAGAGCGAGACTCTGTCTCAAAAAATAAACAAATAAATAAATAAATTGTTGGAATTCTTAAAGATCTAAGATTTAATCAGATCTAGGTGATTTTACAGCCAATTTCTACCTATCCTTTAAAGCACAAATACCTTTTACACTCAAGTATTTCAAGCATTAAAAAAAAACTGGGCAATGTTAGTTGTTTTAAAATATGTTTACAAATTCTTTTACTATCCTTACCTGAAAGGGTGGACTCTAATTCCCCTTCTGAATATGTGCTAGATTTAAGTGATTTGATTGTAATGAATAAAATGGCCAAAGTGTGCAACTTTCCAAGCTTGTTCACAAGAGACATTGTGGCTTATTTCTCCCCACCTTCACCCTCTGTTTTCTCTTTCTAAGGATAACAGCTGCTATGTTTTGAAGATGGTCGGTGAGGACTTTGGAGAGGTCTAAGTGGCAAGGATCTGAGGCCTCCAGGCAATGGCCAGCTCAAACTTGCCAGATATGCCAGTATGCCATCTTAGAAGTGAATCCTGAAGCTACAGTCAAGGATTCGGATGATTGCAGCCTATGCTTACATCTTGACTCCAACCTCAAGAAAGGCCCCAAGTCATATGCACCCAGCTAAGTCAATTCTAGATTCCTGACCCACAGAAATTAAATGAAATCTTAGATGTTCATTAATTTAAGCTGCTCAATTTTGGGATAATTTGTTACAAAGCAACAGATAACTAATAAAGATAGAGAGCTCCACAATTAATTTTATAAGGCTACCATAATCTTAACAACAAAACCTGACAAAGGTAAACCCAAAAGAGAAAATCATAGAATGATTATATATGAATAGAAATGGAAAAATTACTCATGTAAAATATTAACAAAATTTATCCACCCATTATTTAAGATAATAATATAACATGATCAAATAAGATTTGGTCTAGGAATTAAAGTATTAATCAACATTATGAAATCTATCTATACTTCTTTGCAATAGGTTAAAAAAGAAAAAGCATATGATTTCATTAGATGTCAAAAAGTGATTGGATAAAATTAATAAATCATTCCTAAAATTCTTAAAACATGATTAGAAGGCCACTACATTAACACAAGAAAGATTATGCATATGAACACATACACACAGACACAAAAGTAAATATTATTATAAACCATAAAATTATCAAACCCATTTCTATGACAAGGAGGAAAAGACAATGCCTGCTAGCATGTCTAAGATAACATATTGTTTGTGATTGTAGCTAACACAATAAGATGATAAAAGCAACTAATAAATAGTTATTGGAAAGAGTATCCAACATTTTTATTTGGTAATAATAGCATTATATGTAATTAAAATCAAGACAGTCTATTAAATATTGATTAGGATTCATAGAATTTCAAAGTTAACTAGATACAAAATACATGTAAATAATCAATTGCCCAATTATCCTCCCACATGAAGAATTTCAAACAGTGCTATAGTCTAATGCCATATGTCAATATGGGACAGAAGGCACAATGTTATGAAAATCACTATTACATTTGTTGTAAGAATTTATAGAGCTTAATTCAGTGTCACACAGTGACCCCTATTTTGTTGTATTATTTTAATTTTTGTTCTATTATTTTATACCCTATTTAAATTATTTTTAATTAAATGAATGATCCATCAACTCTAGACAATTTTCAGCCATGATCTTTCAAATCTCACATCTGCATTATTCTTTCTGGTTGTCCTTCTAGTACTATGAGTAAATCCATGTCAGATCATCTTACTACTAATTTCAAGTCTTAAACTCACTGTTACATTTTTCTTTCTGCATTTTGGATAATTCCTTAAGATCTGGTTATACAGTTCATTAAATTTCTTCTGCTAGGTCCAATTGGCTATTAATACCATCCAACAAGCTTTTAATTATGTGTTATAATTAATTATGTTTATTTTCTAGAATTTCTATTACATTCTTTATTTAAATCTGTGTGTCCACTCTGTATTTTCTTAGTCCCTCAGCATATTTTATTATTAACAGTTTTTAGTTTACTTTTTATGTCACTAAATTTAGTCATATAGAAGTCTGTATCTGTTAATTCTCTTTTTACTCCTTTTGTTCCCATTGTTTGTTGCTCTTGTTCTTGGATCATATTTCCCTGTTTCATGATGTATTTGGTTAATTTTGATTGTGAAGGTACACATTGATTTTCTTTCATATTTTATCTACAGGCATTTGTCGAGGCCTAAAATTAAGTTTGCTCCTTCAGAGATGTCTTGTATTTCCTTCTCTCAGGAGTTCTGGGGCACAAAACCAGCCTGGGATATCCCTAAATTAAATTCTTAGATTGTGTGTTTTGAATCCCTGTGGTTTGAATGCTGGGAACAAGTAAGCATCAAGGCTGGTTTGTAGTCCATCCAAGCCTCAGCAGCACAATCTACCTGCTCAGCACCCAGGTTCAGAGCTGCCTCTTTTTTCTGCAATCACTGTATGGAAAATATGTGTGTATTTCCAGTTGATCTCTCTACCCAGAGAAGGTAGCTTTTGGTTTTGTGTCTCAACTTTACTTGAAAAGATTTATCAGGCTCCATACCTGGTCAGTTTCCATACAACATCCTAAAAACCAAAGCTCAGGTTTGGGTAAAAGCTAGCTGTAGTGCTTCTAGTTTGACATGGGCCAAGTCCCTGGGCCTGAGTTCCTTACTTTCTTAGCTACTCTTCATTGCTATTAAGAATTTAAAAAATATTATCCAGGCTTTTTATTAATAGTTGTCCATCCAGGTAACATGCTTGCCATATTATGAAAATCTATCCCATAATCCATAAATCCTTGTTTGTCTGTGAGAGAATGAGGACACAAAGATTTCTAAACTCATTCCTCCATCAGTCAATTATCAACCATGACCTAAATTCAGTGTCTCAGCAAGCACTTTACTCCAAGTCTAGCCTTGCACCTCACCATTTTATCTGAAGTTTTGGTTCCTTTTCTTCTGGCCACTCCCTCCCAGCTCTCTCTAGTCTCTTTCCCTAGATATTTTTTCCCCACAATCATCCATTTCCCAGTAGTGAAAACAGTTTACACCATCATCCTACCTTGTGCAGCAGAGGCCACATCCTGCTAGAAGGGGTTTTCCTTCCCTTTCTACCTCCTCTTGTGTTTGGCACTCAGGGACATACAGGAAAGGGTGAACCATATTGCAAAGGGGGCCTCAGTCCTCATTGCCTATCTGCAGGTAGACGCCTTAATGGATTGACTATTTGGCTTCTCTCCTGTTACCCAGAGTATTTTTAAACTGAGTGCTGCTAAAAAACGACTATAGGCCGGGCGTGGTGGCTCACGCCTGTAATCCTAGCACTCTGGGAGGCCCAGGCAGGCGGATTGTTTGAGCTCAGGAGTTCGAAACCAGCCTGAGCAAGAGCGAGACCCCGTCTCTACTAAAAATAGAAAGAAATTAATCGGACAACTAAAAATACATAGGAAAAAAAAAATTAGCTGGGCATGGTGGCGCATGCCTGTAGTCCCAGCTACTCGGAAGGCTGAGGCAGGAGGATCGCTTGAGCCCAGGAGTTTAAGGTTGCTGCGAGCTAGGCTGACGCCACGGCACTCTAGCCCGGGCAACACAGTGAGACTCTGTCTCAAAAAAAAAAAAAAAAAACGACTATGAACTAAGTAAGATTTTTTGAGAAAGTATAGTAACTGACAGAATTTGAAGGAATCTCAAAGACTACTTCCTTTTTCTCTCCCTCTGCATCTTTTAGATAAAATGTAGGAGCCACCTTTCCCTCCCCCACTAGCCTACTCAAAGGCTCGGACAGAAATTGGCCCAAATGCAAAGCAAGCAAACCAGAAATCTTTATAATACTCCTATGAAAACTCACATTACCTTCTACTTTTATTTTCTTTTTAACAGTACTACAGGGTAAAAGTTTTAAAAAAAGAAAAAATGAAGAAATTTAAAAACAAAAGGAAGGAAAAAGCCTCTGAATAGAAGGAAGTTGTCAGAGCATGGTCTTTTGTGCTCAGGGTTAGCAGTCATCACTGAGTCTCGATCAACATCACGGCCAATTTGGAGACCTACACATGAAAACTAAGAGCTGTACATTTAAAAATCACATCTTCAAATCATACTAGTTATCTAGCTATGTGACACTAAATGAAATAATGATTCTATTGAAGTCGTACGTGCCCATTAATGGCACTCAAATTTCTGGTGATTATTGTTATTTCCTGTATTTTACACGCACTCACCGGGCAGCACTAACGTAACATCAAAGATTGCTAACATAGTTTTAAATGTGGTGGTGAGAAAACCAAGAATTCTTTTAGCGAAAGAATTACAACTCACTTGTTGAAAACTGCGTGGCTCTTAAAAGAGCCTTTGGGGTTGGGTATAGAGGCTTACTTGGCAAGTTTACTTGGAGCTGGTGTACTTGGTTACGGCCTTTGTGCCCTCGGACACCGCGTGCTTGGCCAGCTCCCCCGGCAGCAGCAAGCGCACCGCCGTCTGGATCTCCCTGGAGGTGATGGTCGAGCGCTTGTTGTAATGCGCCAAGCGAGACGCCTCGCCCGCGATGCGCTCGAAGATGTCGTTGACGAAGGAATTCATGATGCCCATGGCCTTAGACGAGATGCCAGTGTCGGGGTGGACCTGCTTCAGCACCTTGTACACGTACACGGAGTAGCTCTCCTTACGGCTGCGTTTGCGCTTCTTCCCGTCCTTTTTCTGCGCCTTGGTCACCGCCTTCTTGGAGCCTTTTTTTGGGGCAGGAGCGGATTTCGTGGGTTCAGGCATCGTAGCACTAAAAAACTACACTATCGCGAGCACCTGGGAAAATAATCACCCCCAGCGAGGCCAGGTTCATTTATAGACGCGGTATTCAAATGAGGTTAATAAGATTTCATTTATGATTGGATTAATTTTAGTGTGTCGTCACAAATGCCAACGTAAACGACACTTGAAAGTCTATCTTTTCATTGGCTACCACGTTACTCTACTTTGACCCAATCAGAAAGCCCAGACTAGGCTTCCCAAAGCTACTATAAATAGGTCTCTTTCAGGAGGCTTGTGTTTCTCAGAGCAGTTATCTTTATGGCCACACAGTAATTTTGTATAGTCAGCACTGTTCTCAAAGATGAGGTCTGAACCTGGAACCCATGGGCATCTGTGCTGCAAATAGCCTTATTACTGGAGCAAACAATCAGCGAAGATTATTTTGTTGCTCCTGCAGCTTATTAATCATGACAGCCTCACCAATAACCGTAGGCTGCTTTACTGTTCCAAGTCCTCTCCCTTCGTTGTTTACCGTAAATTCTGGAAATTGCTGCTCATAAACATAGGATATCCCTACCCCCTCCCCAATCGGGCAATTCTAGATTTCGGTTCTACCCTAAATTCAAGTGGTAAAGTTAAACTATATGGCACTAAGTAAACACTGCAAGTGTGCCCCTTAATGTGCTCTGCTGTTCCTTACCGTGTGCCATGCATTTCAATGTGGCACTAATTGGCTACCATCCAGTGCCAAGAATGGGTGCATGGTATTCGCACGGGAGCTCTGCAGTCGCAGCCAACAGCTCAGAAAGGCCAGACTCATTTTCCCAGGGGTCCTCCCCGATTCTTACAGGAAAATGAGAGCTCCCAAAACCACACGCGTACGAAAAGCAAAGTATGGAAACCCATCTACCTTCCCTGGAGGCCCGCCCCTCCTTAGTGGCGTTCTCCTTCCAGCCACGCCCCCTAGGAAAGTGTAACAGCTCTTTTACCGAGATCGGTGGGTGGCTCTGAAAAGAGCCTTTGGGTTGTGTTGAGCGTCTAAGCAGTTGGCCAAAGGACTTTTATTTCTTCTTGGCTGCCGCCTTCTTTGGCTTGGCTGCCTTGGGCTTGGCGGTCTTTGGTTTAGCCGCCTTGGGTTTCACCGCTTTGGCCTTCGCTGGGCTCCTAGGCGCCTTCTTCGGCTTGGCTGCTTTCGCCTTTTTAGGGCTTTTCGCTTTTTTGGCTCCTGCAGTTGCGGCCGGCTTTTTCGCCTTCTTTGGGGTCTTCTTGGCGCTCTTCTTCGGGGCGGCCGCCCCCGTTGCCTTCTTAGGCTTCTTAGCCGCTCCTACAGGCTTCTTGGCCTTAGCTGCACTTGCTTTTTTAGCTCTGGGCTTGGCTTCCCCGGAGGCCGCCTTCTTGTTGAGTTTGAAGGACCCCGAGGCGCCGGTGCCCTTGGTCTGCACCAGGGTGCCCTTGCTCACCAAGCTCTTGAGACCAAGCTTGATGCGGCTGTTGTTCTTCTCCACGTCATAGCCAGCGGCCGCCAGCGCCTTCTTCAGAGCGGCCAGAGACACCCCGCTGCGCTCCTTGGAAGCGGCAACAGCCTTGGTGATGAGCTCGGACACCGGAGGCCCAGACGCTTTGCGCTTCGACGCACCTGCAGACTTGCGGGCCTTTTTCTTCACGGGTGCCTTCTCTGCAGGAGCCGGAGCAGCGGGCGCTGCAGGAGCAGTCTCGGACATGTTGAAGGCGTGCGTGAGAAAGAGCAATTAGAGCCGGAAGCAGAGGCACTGGCCGGGACTCGGGCCGCGGCGCTGCGCCCGCCCGTTTATATAGGGCGGAGCTGCGCCGTGATTGGTGCGCTGTCCAGCCCGCCTCGCTGGCAGCCGCAGAGTGTCCTCCTGGATCCCGAGTTGTGTTTGTTACACCTCAAAAAAAGCCAAAAATATCAAAATTCTGTACACTGAGCTACCCAATTTTTCTCAGATAATGGTCCCCGAAGCCTCAGGATTGACGCAGAACTCAAATTATGAGGAAAGCACAAAACCTTGTGCCAGAAACTAGCAATATTTCCCGCCGTGCTCGGCAAATTTCAACTCAGAGAAACAAAACTTTGTATTTTCTTCGTAAATTATAAACTGATCTTTAACTATGGAGTTTTCTGACCTCTCAAATATGATTCTGCAAGTGGTTAGCTTCTTATACGTCCAAAAAACATGTCACTGGCACTAAAATTTTTATTACAAATCTGCACTTAAGTGAGGGAAGTAACACAGGCTCCTCGGAGAGTCCTGCCTATTGAGCCGAGGGCATTTGAGTTCATCAAAATGGTTTAGTTTAATGCCAAACAAATTATCGCCTATTTGAGGTTAAATTTTGGACCCCTGAGACATCAATCTATGCGACTATGGTTTTATTTCCGTCCGCTACACCTGAGTTTTTAAATAATTCCTTTGGATAATTCTTTCCCTTTCTGCTCCCAAGGGTTGGGGGCGGGGCGGTTTCTTCTCTCCTTTGGACAACTGCTCCATGGGTTGAAATACCTTGATTTCAGGGTATTTGGGAAGGAAGGGAAGTCCAAAACATACTCAGGGTACAGAGATGAAAAAGGATTAATTTTCCAATATGTGTCCATAAAGTTACTGGAAGTGGAGGTGCAGTTTACTTCGAAGAATTTATCTGCAGCCTTGCTGAGTGTTTTTGTCATATGCTTCAGGACCAAATTGTAATATACTAGTTTAAGCTGAAATCAAGCAATGTTCATAAAGGAAAATAAATAAGAACTGTAGATTGGAACATATCTATTACCGTTATTAGAGAAACACAGACCCTGTTATTACTAAATAGTTGATGGATGACTAGTCCACTCACCATACATGATTTCAATCTCTATGAAGATTATAGCCCAATGCTTCTCAGAGCTCCATAAAAAGGAAAATAAGTGACATGTAGGGATTTAATGACAAGTTCAAATTTTGATCTTAGAAACAGAGTTTTGAGAGGCTGTCCAAGCTAAGTCATTGCCCTCTAAAGACATGTTTTGAAAGATGTCTGAAACAATGGATTTGTTTAGGTAGTTGTCCAACCAAGGAATAGTATAAATTGGCAATGACAGCTCAATGAAAACAATTATTTCTAAAAAACGATCTGGCTGGAATTGTCTTTTAAAAACTGCAAGCCATCTTCTGGGGAAACAAAATACAATTTTACCCAGTGCTAAAGGTGATATTCTACTGTTCTGTAGATGTGACTCATTGTAACATGGTATTGGATATCAGTTTAAAATGTAATTCCATTTCCCCAAATCTTCTCCACAGATCCAAACTCTGCTACTAAAATGCATATTATACATAAGTTTAATACAAGCTGAATGAAATGTTTCAAAATAGTCCTGTTTAAATTAATGCTGAATTTTGTATAAAAGTGATATAAATTATCAATATTTCTTAAGCCTTAACGTGTAACCATTTTCAATTTAATTTGTGCACACTAGGGAAAAATATATATGCTCTCTGGTATTTATTGAAATAAAAAAGGAGGTGGATAAATCTCCAAAAGAGACTAGGGAAACTGTATGTGAGCATTTGATTCCAGAATGGTAGGATCATATCCATTTTTAATGCCAACAAAAACCACTCCTTTAAATGGCTGAAATTTGCATGCTACACTGAAGTTCGCTTTCAAATGCCTCACTTTATCCTATGTATTCCCTACTTGTGGGGACTTAAATGTCCAAATTCTGGGATCTTTCAGCTCACCTCTGCTTGCTGCTTATGGTGCTGTGTGTTTTCTGATAAATAAAGCAACTGGACTTAAGACATTGAGGACTGGTCACTGTTAAATCAAGCATTTGTCTGACACTTCTTTATGATGAAATAGGAGCAATATCAAAAGACTTCGTTTTCTTAATGATCTGCCAATAGGCTGACTATATCAAAGCTATGTGTGTGCACATGCATGTTCATGTGTGTGTTTTAGATGTAGGTTTCAAGGCCTTGTTCCAGATGATTCTGATCTAATAACTCTCCAGGGGGTCTTCAGAATATGAATATTTAACAAAATGCTCATGCCCAATCAAGTTTGGGACTCACTGCTGCTGTCACTAGAGGTGACCAACAGGGCAAAAGTGTTTCTTGACATATGAGTGCTCCCATGGATTTCTGGGCTTGCCTGTGAAAAGATGTTCATGCTGGCTATAATCACATATTAGGAGGATGGGGACAGCATTAGTCCAATCCTGACTTCCTTGAATTCACACTTTACTGGCAACTGTAATGGGCTTAAGAAGGAGAAAGGAGAGTAAAGTTAAGCATCCAATAATTAATTATTTTCCGTCCACAGAGAGTGGACTGAACCTTGGCTATCTATGGACTACCTGAATCCTCTGTTACAGAATCTCTACTCTTTATGTCATTTTTAACATTCTTAATAATAATTATTCTCTCCACTTATTGGCTATTGTGTGCTCCCTACATTCTCAGTCAATGCAACAACCCTCTGATATAGATAGTGTCTCCACTTTACCCTGGAGGAAATGCATATGCAAAGGTTAAGCAATTCTCTTGAGAAGACTGTTGGTAAGAGGTACATTCCAGACTCCAGTTTACATAGGTATGACTTCAAAGCATATGCTGTTATTAACCAGTGTTTTCCAGACTGCAGGTCTGAACAAGTATTAGAAGTTGTGAAATCTAGTTAGTTGTGCAAGGCTAAAATATTTCTTTTTTTAATTAATTAGGATAGAATAGAAAATGCCAGATTTCATTGCACGTAGTTTTAGTTATATTCACAGCTCTTTGTGTGCTAGGTCCCTATGTAAAAGGCACTCCTTACTGTGTAGGCTTGTATGTCCAGAGTGGTTAGTATGTTTTCCTCATGCACTTTTTTGAGTTTTTGTAGTCATGCAATATTCTCAGGTGTGTTATTTTTTATTAATGTAAGAAAGTAATTTCTTATCATTGACATTTTTTAAACCTCTAAGGAGTCCTGAGTGATAGAAAATGGAGGACACTTTTGATCATTTTAATTTTGGACATGATATCAACTGTGTTAGGTGGAACAACATGATTTGTATAAAAGTTGAAAGGAAAGGGAAGATTGTGTTTAGTTTCTTTTAGTCCACAATTCTGGGTTCCAAGTGCTTAATTCTGGACTTTGCTATTTTAATATGATGCTACCATGATTGTTTTATTAAAAATAGAGTTTGGAAAAGAGATGCTTTATACTATACGAAGGAACTATATATTATCTTAGACATAGATTTTTCTTTAAGTCAACAATTAACGCCTGTAATCCTAGCACTCTGGGAGGCCGAGGCGGGCGGATTGTTTGAGCTCAGGGGTTCGAAACCAGCCTGAGCAAGAGCGAGACCCCGTCTCTACTAAAAATAGAAAGAAATTAATCGGACAACTAAAACTACATAGAAAA